GTATCCCCCTACATCAGAGCTAATACTTAGTATAGGTATAGGTATAATGAGTGTGACAGGGAAGAGGGTTTCCTCCAGGAGAGGGAGAATCCCTACTTCTAGTGGGAGCCAGTGTCTGGACATCTAACTCCCTATCGGAGAAGTGTGATACGATCTCCTGCTTGTGACAGGTAGATCGTTATGGAGGGTGTGAGAGATTGGTTAACTGCCCTATTGGCTAAGGTGAGTTTTGCTTGGGGATATATAATTATTTGTCTCACCACTAAGCATTCGTTCTGATGAAGGGGGATACTCCCCCGAAGGGCGCGTCAGCTTTCCTGTTTGAATACTGAATGTGATCATTGCCTATCCAAATTGTGAGTAATATTTTGTATTATTTTATACTCCATCAATAAAAAAACTGTTTTACACTATGAATGGGTGCTGTCCCCATTCCCCATATGTCCAAGAACATATAGTCAGCAAGTGAATGCTGTGCTTTGAGCACTCCACACTTAAAAAATGACCCTATCTATATTTCAATATACCCACAAAAGAAATGAAAGCCCCAAATATCACCAAAAGCCTGCACTTTTTTGTCTGCTATGGATAGGACAGCAACAAATTGTGGCTTCTGCCCTCTAATCGACCATAAAATAAAATAAAATAAAGCCCCTACTGATAAGAACACAAATAAATTAAGAAAGCAGCAAAGGGCGGCTGCCCAAGAGCTAGCAATCAAACTTGTTGCTGACACAAATAGCAGTTCTAGCAGGGACTGGGTTAAGTGAAGAATTGTGAATATTTGGGGAGGGAGGGGCACACAGGACCTAACCACTGGCTCATAACAAAATTCGCCAGTGCAAATCTCAGAAATCTGCCCTACAAATTTTCTTGTTAAGCCAAATTGGAACCCTAAAATTCACCCTAAATGTATGGTTGGGCAAATCCAAAGCTCATTGCCACTGCCCACCAGTATTTGAATTTATTATTTCTCATATTTTAAGTGCTGACTCTGCTTCCAATACAATGTACAAAAGTGTAAATTTGCTCTAAAGAATATGATGTGTTTCAGAGCCACTAAACTTAGCACATATAATCTAGAAGAAAAATCAACAGTCACTAAGCAGGGAAGATGGCATGGGAAGGAGCCTGGCCCCCTCATCACTGGAGGAGGGCACTTTAGGAGGTAACTGTACCTAATGTGCAAGTATGCTCACATAATTACACATTATAACAAGAGCCCACCCAGCGAACTTTAGTTACGCCTTAACTCTGTAGTTATAAAGAGGCTGTCAGAGACCATGGCAGTAAATGAGAAAATAGGAGATGTGTTATCAAAGTGATTAGGGCATAACTCCAAACCAAAATGTTTATTTCACTTTTGTGTGCACACTGGTCGCATGGAGGCATGGATGTTTTTTAGATTTTTGGGGATTCCATTGGTGAGTTTTCTCCCCAGTATTGTGTGTCTTCACCCCCTCCCACAAGGCAACAATGAATGAGACTTTGTTGTATCTGTACACTGACATTTCTGCATTATGTATAATCATTATATAGACACTATGCTTTTGCTTTGTAATGGCCATGGCATTGGTTGGAACTAGACATTGTTGTGGGAAACGCTTGCCTCTGGAGTCCTTAATAAATATAGAAGTCATTGTGGGATTCAGCATTCTAGAAACCACCAAAACAGAAAATTAGTTTATGGATAGAGTTGTCCTTTAATGGTTTTCATAACAGAATTGAAGACTGTGCTTATTCAAAGCTGACATTTACTTGTCTTTTACTGAAATGTCTGAGACGATCTATGTATTACGGTCTCTTGATTTCTAGCTATGAATGCAGAATGATATGACATTGGCAGTTTGGCTCCACATCTGTTTACCAAATCATTGAAATCGCTTCACAAGCACCCATATGACAGTGCAGAGCTGGAATGAAATGAGACTCACAGAAGCCTGCAGGTGTGATCATGACACATTTTCTTCCATCTGTCATCATCTTCTTGCTGTGTCTGGGGGCAGCTTCTTGTTCCTATTTAAAATACATATGGCATATTATTCTCTTGTACTCATTTTACCTATCTCCACTATGGAACAAGTTTCTTTGTTGTCAATTTTTTTTGTTTGTTTTACATTTTACTTTTGAGTTTTAGTTTTTTTTTCATGTTTTCTTTTCCTTTCTAAACATTCTTGCTGCAGTCAAAAAAGTGTTGATGTAGTAGAAGTCATATTAGCCAATTACATGTTCTGTTATCCAGAATGTTAGGGACCATGTTTTCTTATTCAGAGCACTATGCCCTCCCCTCCACAAAAAAACAAAACAGATTTTAAAATAAACCCCTGTGAGGTACTTGCGGGATTATGGTCGGTATATACGTGTCACCTACACACCTTGAGGGTCTCCAGTAGTGATGTTCAGATACCTACCAAGTACCATACTTTGTACAAATACAAGTACAAATACTGATACTTTATCAGATCCAAGACTACACTAAAAAACAACTCAAAAGTTAGGAGGCAGCTGTCATTTTTAAGGAGCATTGGCTACGGGGCTCCTTGGGTTTTTGCATCCCTGTTTTAATGTACGATTTGAGATTATATATATATGTATATACATGATTTCAGGACAGTGGTGGATCGCCAGGGCCCAGTCACAGCTGCGACCCTGGTAGTCCTGGTGAAGTATCGACACTGGTATCTGAACATCCCTAGCCTCCAGGGTTTGTGTCTTCTATGGATGAAACAAACTTTTTTGTTTTATCAAATCATAGTACATTCTGGTCCTGGTCCTGGAGCCCAGAGGCTTTGCAGGGCTTTTGGTGGGATAATGCCTCCAGTCCTAGGTCCAGATTTACCTGAAGCATACCTCACTAATTGGTCAGGTGTCCACATGCTTTTTTACTTTGGACATGACTTGACAAGAGGCCTTATCTTTCTTCTTCTGCTGTGAGAGCCTGCTGCTCTTTAGTTTTACATGCATAACGCTGTCTGATCTACCTGACAGGCTATGGAATGTGAACAGAAGCTATCACGGGAGCACATTGATCTGTTTTGATTGTGTGGCAAGGCTCTTTGCTTAGGAGGAACTGGGTCAGAGAAAATGTCCAGTCATGAGGTCTCGGGATGTGGATGATAACTGACATCTATTGAGAGCCTTTGGCTTTCCCAGTGGAATCCAAGTTGCAGGCGACCATGGCATTTTAACAGTCCTGTGCATGTGTTTTGAAAAGGTTTTGAGCAGTACAATA